CAACGGTTTGAGCTGAACAGACCTTAAAGATCCTCTGCTCCCAACCCCAGGGGCACACACCTCCATTGGGCCATGTTGCCCTCCTGGCCTCTCAGAGCAAAGCATTCCTTCCTTCTACCTCATATACATCTCCCCTCTTTCTATTTAAAGCCATCACCCGTTGTCCTGTCACATGCCACCATTCCTGCAGGGCTCGTGCAGGCACTGGTAGGCCATAGCTGTGTGCTGCAGCCTCTCCAGGCCACACCATTCCAGCTCTCAGCCTTGTCTGCACAGCAGAGGTGCTGTAGCCCCCCAAGCACCCTTCCAGCTTCCTACAGACCCCCAAAAGTCTCTCTGTGTCTGCCTCTGTGCAGAGGGCTGGGCTGGACAAGGAGGCAACGCTGGCCTAAAGCCTGCATGTCTCAAGGCTGTACCTCCTGGTGACAGGATCTCCTGTGGAGATGGTTCTGAATAAATGAATCAACTATTTCGCCCACCACCTATTTTATTCTAATTCAGGGAAAACCTATTGCTACAGTGTTATTTTCTTGGCTTGGCCCAATCTTAGCCCCTGGACGGCCATTGCAGGCACACTGCTGTGCTGCACAGCATCAGCTCTGCCAGTGCTGAACTGGAGGTTCCTCTCTGCACAACAGATCCTCATGAGCTGCTGACTGTGAGCCCAGCCTTTCACCTCCACGCCCAGACTCTGATGGACAAAAGGAGACGGAACAGATTTAATTTTTAGGGTGGTGCTGGGAAGTGGAAAACCTGAGCCAGCTGAATGTCGTCTGGAGCCTGCCCAGCCAGGAGGGACCCTGGCCACACTGATGCCAGCTCAGCATGCCACTGCTTCCATCGGGACTGGGATTTTATTTCACCTGCTGAACCAGTGTGAAAAAGTAAAGGAACTCCCTCATGCTCTTCCCCCATCTTTTTCTCTGCCTAAGCCAGCCTATATTGCTCTAACCCCTGCTTTTGGACAGAACACACACACACACAGGTGCCCACACGCCCTTCCTGCAGGCCACAGCATATTTTCCAGCTCAGCAGGTTACCAGCAGACACGGTGCTAGCAGCAAGCCCTGAGCAGAGACCAGAACAGAGGTTGGCACTGCGCACATCATGGATGCAACCACACCGCCAGCCCTCCTGTCAGCATCCCAGCCCTCAGCAAAGTGGCTCTCCTTGCTGAAAATTGCCTTACACAGTAGTACTGAATCTCCATTTTAAGGTGAAGTGGTGCACAGATGTTTTAAATACTAATTTGGAGCTTGGTGGAGCACCACTCTCACACTGACTACTCTGCTGCAGTCCTCCAGCCAAGATTCACTACCATTCCACATCAGCTATTAAGAGGCTCAATGCGTGTATCCAGTTTCCAATAGTACCAGCTTCTTCTTAAAGGTTATAGTTTGTTTTAAATAGCACAGCCATCTGTCCCGTGGAGGCTCATGGGAGCTGGAGAAATCGAAGCAGCCAAAACAGAATTTTTCACACTGACTGTCAGTTTTCATTACGAACATTTCAGCTTGAATCAGACACGTGTCCTAAAAAGTATGCGATTTTTTTTGTGCCTCACACCAGCATCACAAGACCTGCTGGAACCAATTGCATTAGTGGAGTCTCATCCATGGAAACAGCTGCCCTGTACTTCACAAGCTGCGTGCACCTTACCAACCACAAAATAACCCTCATTTACATGTTTCTAGCCTTTGAGCTCAAAAAAAACCCAACCAACCAACCAACCAAAAAAACGTGAAATAAATAACAAAAAAAGTTAATTTGTTCCAAGTAGCCATAACACAGACTCAATGCAGAGCATTAAGAAAAAATCCTCATGCTGTTACCAACAGCACTGCCAATACTGTGCTGAAAAACAACACAGAACCAACCAGTGGTCCCTTAGCACAGCATCACTGTGATGAGCCCAGCCCAGCCATGTCAGCATCTCATACCTCCATCAAAATGCCCACCATCCCACCCATGCAAACCACAGCCAGGGAGGCTGAGGAGCATCCAAGGAGACAAAACAAGATGCTGTATTAATCAGAACAACATACCAAAGTTTATTGATTACTTCAAACATAAGTTTCCGTAATGAAAAAAGAGCAAGTTGCATTCATAAAAGGTAACATTCACATTCAGTTTCTTTTATATAAAGCAACATAAATGTATAAAATTGCATTAAAGTGAAAAAAATGTAAGGTCGCAGTCCTTTTTTTTTTTGCAAGAAGCTGAAAATGTATTTTCTCATTGCCTGTATATAATTTACACTTTCTATACACTGCATGTTTGTATTTAAAAAAAATCCATAGCTGGGAAATCGGATGAATGGTGCAGTATTAGGTAAGGTTTTCAACAGTAAGTGTTTATACAGATTCAATTTTAAGCCTGTACGCAACTCCAAGTCATTTATAATATTCTCGTGACAATTAGGATTAGTTTTTGAAAAGCAGCTATGACTACACCACGTTTCTCTATTATCACATTACATTTTTAGAGGGAATCTTAATTACTTTGCTTATCTTTCAGTGTCACTAACCAGTGACTAAACTTCAGTGGATTAATCTGAAGACCCCCCGCTGTTTTCCTTCAAGTTTCCCCACCGATAAGCCTGTACTGGCCTTTCAGCTCCCTAACGAGCACCATAACAGTGTAGCTCATGTTATGGCATATGAATAATGATCACAGCATTACCACCACATTACTGCTGCTTCCCCGTCTTGCTGGCTGATGCCCTCCAGCTGGTACCACCATCTTCCTTTGCCTTCTCTGACTCCAGCATGGATTTCCTGTTTCCCCTGATTTCATGATACATCCACAACCAAAATTCCGTTCTGCTCTTGCTGCTCAAATAGGGTCAGTTCCTCTGCTGGTCTGTGGAGCTATACCTGTGTGCTAGCTGGAGATCCAAGCCCAAGAAAACCTGCTTTTCCCCAAAGGAGCTGCTATTCATAACATTTCCCATGAACACCAATCTGCTTTTCAGCATGCATGCCTTGGGGGTTGGATGCACAGCAGCAGCAACAGTTCGCTCCAGACTGATACCGGGTACTTGGAAATGACAATAGAGATTTGGTTCCTAGAAGGCTTCATCTCAGCACAGGCTGCAGCCATTGGCCTGGTGCAGTGGCTTTATTTGGACATCACACGTCCGTGTTCCCCCTAACCTAACAGCAAGGCTTCCAGCTGCATCTCACAGGAAGAGAATTTGACCCAAGAAGAACACAAGATAAAGCAAACTGAGAAGCGGGCTGTCAGGCTTGGGACCACCAGGGCTTGGAATGGTTTTGAATCACAGGAATTGCATTTTTCAGCGCCCGTGTTTTAAAGGATATGTAAACACAAGTCAGCAACTGTGTATTTAAGGAGAAAGGTTAGATTTGGCATATAGAGCATCTTCATTGTATTCATCGCATACTTGATCTGTAGGCACCACGTTTTAGCAGTAAAAGTTGAGAATTGGGCAAGGGCTGCAAGTTGAATGCTAGGTCCGTGAGACGAGCTAGAAAAAAGAAAAAAGCTTTGCCCATGGGACACATGCTGGGAGCACAGCTCCTGGCTTGCATGCAGCAAGGGGTGGAGCTGCAGTCACTGGCGAGGTGACCGCGGTGGCGTTGGGCTGGCGCAGAGTGAATAACACAGCAGACCTGTCCATGTCCTGCAGGGCAGCCACAGGGGCTGTGCGTACCCCTCTGCTCCTCCCACTTGCAGCCTGTCCCACGCAGGCCGAGTCCTTGTGTATCCATGCATGCCTGCAGCTGATCCGCATCCTGTTTTCACAGCACCAACCGTGAGTTCTGCAGCCAGACAGCACGAGACTTGATTCTTCAGAAAACTAATAGTCTGTCCTTTAGCAAAATCTGAAGAAGGGAATGATTGATCTGGCTATAATTCATCACTTCTTCACACGGAAGCGAAGCAGAATCTGCTGCAGGCAGAGGTGAGTGAGCTCATCACAGTATTTCCATGGCAGTCCCCAGCTGTGGGCTGTACCCAGCAGGGCAAGGGGAAGGCAGTGCAAAGAGCACCTTCCCATGCAGGGTGCTGGAACACAGGGCACTCCAAAACTGCTTAGGGCTCAAGAGAATGAAAAAGCTGCTTGTTCCACACATGGACGTCTGAGAAGTCTGAGGGTCAGGCACCTCACCTCTGTTGCACCAACCTAAAGGTAGAAGTCCTTGCTAAAGGTAGATTTAAAAAGAACATGCCAATTAAAAACCAAATTAAATGTAAAATGAATCCATGTATTCCTTTTATTTTAAAACCGACTTCTTTTTTCTTAGTGCAAATAAATCAAGATGCAGTGTGATGCCTACAAGTTCACTGGCACCATCCATGTCCCTGCAGCTGGCTGAGGACACACTGTCACCAGAAATCCACAGCATTTCAGCAGCTGCTCACTGCACTACCACAGTGTGGCACAGCCACAGCAGCCAGGAGAGCTGGGCTGGAAGCGTGGCACAGCCCAGCATTCAGGCTCTTCCCTCCCCATGAAATTTCCTTTCACCACTTGCAGTCCCGGCACGTTTCCTTCCTTCACCTTTTGCCAAGAGAAAGCCCAGCAGCACGGAGGAGCAAGCAGCTGCAGGAGGATGCCCAGCACCTGGGCTCAGAGTCTGTGCTACTTCTTTGGTCAGGCAAAGCAAGAGGCTTCGGCAGCTCCCTGCTGCTCTCGGGCAGAGCTGCAGCGGTTGGAGGAAGCCCCCGTGTGACGCGAGGAGGCATTGCTCTCACTCTGATCATGCTGCTTTTGAAGAATTCCAAAAGATGCTCTCTCAGTCTCCAATAACACAGACTTCTGATTTGGCAGAATTATGTTTTTCGTTTTGTTTTGTTTTTTTCTGGGGGGAAGCAACAAGACCAAAGATGAAGAGGTACCGTGGCCAGTGCCTGGCTACTGCACTGCTGCTTACAGTGCTTGGTAATACTCAACAGAACCAGAACATTTTCCTGCAGGATAACAACTGCACTGTTTGGATGGAGCATTTTAAAGTATCCTGAGAGGATATCTTTCTGCCACATTAGTAAGAGCATCTTCAGTCTTCACATAACCATTCTCTATACGTTTGTATGACACTAATATAGGCAGATCAAAGATGCCAGTCTGCAAAAATCAGAAGGAAAACGCACATGTATTGCAATTGTCACATTCCCAAAAGCACAGTAAGCCTTTTGGCATATTTTAGAAAGGAGAAAATAAATAAATAAAGGGAGAAGAAGAATGATTAGCCCACGATAAAAGTGCCAAACCTCACTCACAGCTGAATGGGAGGGTGAAGGACTCTGCATGGGCTGCAGAAGGCAGCACAGAACCCAGCAGCACCGAGGCTGATATTGGCAGCCGTGCAGCTGCCCTCTCCATAAAGTGGGCTCTTTGCAGGCAGCCATGTGTGCAGGGGTAAGGGTTACAGAAAATCCTTGTGTTGATGTTTGCAGCTGGCAGCACGCAGCCGTGTCACATCTCACCTGTAGGCTGTGAATTCAGTCAGGCACTTTTATTTCTCTGCAGCAAGAAGACAGCTGGTGGCTTACTACTTACTACATAGTAGGATGCTCCCTGTGTGTGTAGCTGCATACAGACACAGAGCCATGCCTGCTGTACGCTATGCTGACATACAGACAGGTACACACTTAGTTTCAGTCCATTCAGATGAATTAAAATGTACTCATTTCTATCTGACACAACAGCATGCACCATAGAAAATGGGATTTTTATACTATTCAGATGCAATTCTGGAATCATTTTAATAGCTTAGACTTGAATATTCCACTGCAAGTACATCAGTGCTTTTACAGCCCAAATCTGTTTTCTCATGCTCTTAATGTTAGATCAAAATATTGGCTATATTGAAGGATCTGCTTATATAAAGCAAAGTGCTTTGGATTGAGCAGATCTGTGCACATACAGGATTCTGAAGAGTAGGACATGTCCCCAAATTAAAATGCATCCCAAGCATTGCATCTCCGTATCACAGACAGGTGCCCCACACCATCAAGAGGATTACGAGAACCACAGTTTAATTGATTTGGGGATTACATTTGGTTAATCAATGCCTTTTAAAACCATCCCAACTCCTTAGGGCAGGGTACCTGTTACAACACATTAGACTCATCTGAGAACGTTCTTAAAAGAAGTGGTGTGACAGAAGGTCTGGACGACTTGGGCGCCTTCCTACTGCTCTGCAACAGCGAGGCAAAAACACTTGTAGCACATGTGACACGTTACCCTTTTGCTGTCCAACAACAACAGACACACTCACGCTTCTTACAGCCAGCTACACCGTTCCACAAGGATGTAACACCACACGCTCCCTAAATACCACTGTGATCATACTGGCTGGGTTTTCAGTGCAAGTGGCACTGCTTCCCAAATAGTTCCCTTTAGGCTTTGAGGTTTATACTACAGCTGCTTTCAAAAAGGAGCCTGCCTTGATCTTCTCACAACCAGTGGTTTTGTAACAGTGAGTGACAGCAGGGATGTGTTTGAGGTGCTCAGCCTGCGGGAAGCCCTCCATGGGCAGCGAGCCAGGGAATGCCACTTGTGGCTTACTGCTTGTATACAGAACAGCTGCAGTGATAACAGTTATGTACAGGGCAACAAGGGCACTTGGGAAGCTCCTCTGAGATCAAGCAAGCACGAGCTGTTTGCCAAATCACCCAGAAGACAAAACAGAGCCCGCACTGCTCCATGCCTTGGAGGAAGTAGCATCTAGCCCACTAAAGCCAACCTAAACGATGTAGCAGCACTGATTTCCATGAGTAGGCACAATGTACCTCATCTGAAGGGCCGGTGTAAACCCCAGTTTGTGACTGATGCCTGCCTGTGGTTCCCTGAGCACCTTGGGGACGCTGGGCATGGAAGGACCAAGGGGGGAGACAGACAGAACACTTAAGCAAAAGATTTAAATGAAAGCAGTAGGTGTGGGGAAGAAAGCAAGCTCTTGCCAGGTGAGCAAATCTAAACACAGGTTTTTCAGCAGCGATGCATTAGAAGGAGGAAGCAGAAGAGTAAGCAGCACATACTGGCTCAGAGGGGAAATCACCTTATTCACTCCAAGAAAAGCTGTGATTGCTGGAAGTTTGAGAAAGCATGAAGATAGTGGATGTTCCTGAGGAAGGAAGGCGCTTCGTTACCTAGTTCACAACAGCACAAAAGACAGAAAATTGCAGTACAAGACAGAGAAAGGCAGAAACCAAAGAAAATACGAATGCGCCTTGCAGTTAAAAACAAACAAACAAAAAAAACCAACAACAGAAAAAACCCCAAAACATTTCCACACAGAAAATTTAATTAAGAGTGCAAAGCTGGCACTGTCATACAGAAACCCAGTCCCCTACAGTTTAAGGGCAAGCTCCACAACCTGGCTTCGGTCCATGCCCTCCTCCCAAAGGGGACCTGAGCTCCCAAGGTGTGGGCTTACGTAACCAAGTGAGTGCACTGATCTGGCTTCTCATTGAAGGCTTCCCTTGGGAAACTGATATTTTCCAGTGTTACAGTTAGGATTCTCAAAAAGGGTCTTGATTTAAAATCCCCTACCTGTGCAGCTGAGCTTGGTATCTGACAGCTGACACAGACATCTAGAGCTGGCATCTGCTCCAGGCATTTTGTAAAGCTCTCACTTGAAATGTACATTTAAATAAGGCTCAGCCTGCCTTTAGTTTAGTATGCACATATGAAGAGACTTTTCTAGTTGACACTTACTGTTGATTTACAAAACGATTTCACAAGAGCCTTTTTTAACACATTTAAAGCACTCTCAAAAGCAAGTATTATAAGTGGGAATGGATCTGGCTAAGAGCTGGAAGCAAAAATGGGCCTCTAAGAGCTCAGCTGTGTCTCAGTAACCCCCAGATCCCCCTTCTGGGACAGAGACCTCAAACTGCCCCATGGCTGCAGCTGACAGCAAGTCATCCCCATCCTGCCCAATTTAGAAACTGTCAATTCAGATACTACTGAACTGTTCTTAAGAGGAAGGGAGAAATAGCATGGAGCTGGGAAGAATTTAGCTACAGTTGTTTTACCATCTGTATTGCTCTCAAATTCAGTAGCTCAGGTGGTGGTGTTTCTGGTCTTGCAGATACATATTTTACTTCACTGATACCGTGCCAAAGTTGTACTTCAAAGATTATGAGGGAAAAAGAAACTTTATGATTTCATTGGATATTTAGAAAAGATAAGCTTGATTAAAAAGTATAAAAGAAGCAAAAGTAACAGAGGAGGCACATGGCCAGAAGCAGCAGAACCCCCTGCAGCCACACTGCTGGGCCTGCTCTGCCACTGCCCAGGGAAATGCAGAGTGGTGTCTGGAGGCCAGCACTGGTCAGGCAGCACCCAGTGCAGAACTTGCTGGAATCACAACAGGGAGAGGTGCAGGAGGGAGGCGAGCAGACAGAGCGACAGGGGCATGGCTGGGGGGAGCAGGTGCTGCCTGGGGATGGGTCTGCGGGGATGCTGCCACCTGGGGATGCTGCCCAAGGGATGGGGACTGGGTCATTAGGGGGTGGGCACCTCCCTGACCAGCTTCCCCCTGGCACCTGCAGGATACAGCCATAGTGAACGTCTTGGGTATACTGACATAAAAACAAGCAGCTTGTTTCAGTACTCAACACAGTGGTTTGGATCGGTTTGGGTTGGTAAAGGGATACTGTGCAGACAGCAGTTTTCCATCCAGTCTACACAACTAAAGAAAGGCACTCGTAGAGTCTCTCTTTGCTAGAGATCTAGGCAGTATTTTTAGATGAACTTCTTGACATCTCTGGCATGTGAACGAGCGAGATGAGACTCTAGAAAGCCATCCTTGAGACATGAATGGCACACAGTTCATCTGGTGCTTAATAGAACAGGCCTTTGTAAAAACACTGTGCAATATTTCATCTTGTTCCTTACCTGATGACTTCTCTCTTTTATACTTTTTAAAACTATTAGAAGAATTTCTGGGAAAAGGCTGATAAAGATCAGCAGAATTATTGCCAGCCACGTGGAAACAGAAGTCAGCATATGAGCAAATACAAAATACATTCTTTGTTGTTTCAAGAAAGGCCTGAAAAAGAAAGGATACAAATAGATTGTGGTTAATACCATCAGCCCCACGTGTTTCCCAACTAGGTCAGACTGGGATCAAGGTGCTGGCACTAATACTTCCCTGCCAAACACAGACAGACACTGGCTGCCCACTCTGCTCCCCATGCATCTCCTGCTCCCAGCTGTGCTAATTCTGGAGGGCTGTCAGCAACCTCCTGGGACTGCTCTAATGCTTCTCCATACAGACCCTTCACCCTACTTCTCAGCCTAGCCACTCTTCCTCCCTGTGGCTTTTTTCTTCTCCCCAGCCGGCCATTACGAACTGTTGGTCTCAGCCCTCCTATGAAGCTCTGACCCACCTTCACTGCCAATTTTCAAGACTTCTCTCAACAGCAAATTGCCTTTGCTGTTTTCACAACAAGCTTCTAAGGCCACAGCTACCTCCTCCTCCCTGTCCCATCCACCTTTCAGTCCTTTACAATGCTTGCTGCCATAGCTCAATGCTCCATTTTTCTTTCTCCTCTTCTGTTCCTTCTTTTCATATCACCAGATTTCTCTCCACCATGGCAGCACAAGAATATGCCATCTAACAGTGTATAAAAACCCAATCCTCACTGCCTATCACTATTATCTGCTGCGACTGGCACTCAATAATCAACACATGCTTATCATGGTCGTAAACACTGACATCTCTATAAATCTTCTGACAGACAAAAAGAGGGGAGCTGCAGTCACATTCCTCGCAAAGAAGGTGATGGACATCCCCTAAGAAAGTACCACAGGAGGAAAAGATACTTGCCAAATGACTCCTCCCCAGAAGAACGAGAAAAACACGTAGAAGGCAAGGGAGCCCCAGATCACAAAATGGTTCATCCATGTCCAGAATCGAGTGTCTAAAGCTAGCTGTGTAAGTAGAACAAAAAACAACACCAGGCAGAACAGGCATTAGAAGCAGCATGTATTCAACTGTGCCCATGTTTCCTTTCACAGTAAGGCTGAAGTTTTCTAGTCAGCCACCTCTCTGCATATGTACACCAGGGAAGTATTTTCAATACCTACAGACTGGCACATGAGCGACAGGGAAACAGTTTCTAATTGCAGCTGAGAGCTTTTAACGGAACAAGCTTGATGCAACCTCTGATGCTAGAAGGACTGTGTAAAGGTTGCAGTCATTGCAATTGCCTTCTGCCACCACCTGCTGTCCTGAACCAAACATAAAAGATCTTTTACTTTTGTAAGGTCTGATGCAAACTGTTCGTTCTCAAAAGCTCCATGAAACAAAGCAGTGTTGCTATGCTTGTTTGACAGATGTACTTTTCTGACCCCCACGGTGCAGAGCAGCAGCTGGAACAAGGTGGGCAAACCCAAATACTTGGTTGTTTGTCTCCTCATTCTCAAGCTTAAAGCCAAGTGAAATAAAGTCAACTGCAACCAACTGGAGTACTCAGAAGAAGGCAAAAAATATGAAAATCATTTAGCAGAACATAAGCACTTGTGTATAAGCACATTCTGCATGGTCAATAACCCAACAGTCAATAAGCCACTTATGTCCTGCATGTATGGCAAACAGAAGATGGAAGGGTTGGGAGGAAAGGTATTCATAAAAGCATCTTCAACGTATTTATCACACATTCAAGCAAAAACAAGTGACTGGAGAAGAAGGGCAAAATCTAACCTTGAGAGTGACAGTGAACACCAGCACAGTGAAAACGATCGTCCCAAAGGTCCAGTTTCCAAAAACCTGGAAGACACAGCGTGTTGTCACATGTGTTCCTACCCACTTTGAGAAGAACAGAAAGGAATGACGACACAGTGCAAGCAGGGAGCAGAGGGGACAGAGGAATGGCGCGACTGCTACTCAGGACTTGGCTACACTAACCCTGTGCCATGCACTACCACAGACAAGTGACCGGCGTTGTGACAGCGACAGACACAACCTCCTACTAACAGCAAATGTTGATCGAGAACACAAGTCATTGGGACCACCTGTATTTCATGATTTCTTGGTAATTTACTCAGTTTCTGCTTTCTCGTAACACAGAACCACCGCAGCACCTTTACTGGTTGTGCTGGGCCAGTCCCAGTTGCAGAATGCACCAGTGGGTAATTCTCTGTATGAGAATGCATCGGTTTGGTTTGTGGATACTAGTGACTATGCGCAACAAAGAAAAGCAGATACTGTATATAAATCCAAATGATGGCAACGAATGGGACAGATGCTTACCAAAGGCTGTCAAGATCTGAATGCATACATTAAAACAGAAAGTGAAATGTAAAAGTTTTTAAAAAACGCAAAAAAAAAAAGTCAATAGGAGCGAAAAAGGAGTCAATCAAACATACATGGATATTATGAACAATTGCTGGTAGCAGTTCTTATAAGCATAAGTGTTTACAAAACAGGACAAAACCACAGGGCTTATGTGAGTGCCACACAGACCTGGCCTCTCAAGGCATCTGTAGAACACATCGGGGCTTACATGTTCTGTTCATACGCAACCACAATGGCTATAAATACAGAAAGGCACGGAATCTACAACACAAGAGCATGACTACACATAGCTGGGGCCATGAACGTCGGCACTGATGCAACACGTGCTATTCTCAGCTTTCCTCCATGTGCTGTACCCTAAAAGAACAAAAGCTGGGGTGTTTTCAAGGCCCACGAGTGATGGTGTCAAGAAGGTCTCCATCAACTGAACCCTGCTAACACCTCGCTTTGGTAGAAGGTGTCCCAGGACAGCACAGCACACTGTGTGTATGGCTGCTCTGATGCCTTGCCCTGGGCAAAGCACCATGCAGCATGAATCTGCTGTAAGACCAGTTCTTGTACTTAGAGAGCACAACCACCGCTGCACTGTTGCCATGGTGATTTGGAAAACGTTTCAAGCACTTGCTGCAGAATCACACCATAAGCAATGCTACACCGCCGGACACATCGCACAGCTTAAGCATGTAGATATTTGCTGTCAGGCAGATAAGAGAGGCAGGGCACAAAAGAAACACTCAGCCTTCTCTTTTTTTTTTT